GTGTGCCTAAAGTTGGCTGTCGTAGGAGACATCAGAAGATATTATTATAGAGTCAGCTGACATAAAAATATACCTTCCTTTATGTTGGACAAATGAGCGGTTTTTGGTCAAACGATGTGTGCAAATTGTAGCACAAGTGATGTTTTTATAATCAGGAAAAGTTCAACATGTGTTGTTCAGAGTAAAGAGCTCTGGAGTGACAATAAACTGCACATTTAAGATGATTACAACTGAATATGATACCGAGAATTATGCTGCATGTGATTTGTGTTTGCACTCAGGCCTGGTCCGCCTGGAAGAAGAAAAGTGGATTTGTTTGAATATCTGAATGAGAAGAAAATGTCTTTAATTTTGTTTTCTATTGTTCCTTTCACTAGAAACTCACATATCTGCGATGTAAACATGAAGGATGCACATAAACTGAACACAAACTTGGCGGGAGAAAGTCTGAGAGAAGAGAAATTAGAGACCTATTTTCTTTCTTTATCTTTTTTTTTTTGCTTTTGTGTATCATTATCAGAGGAAGAAGTTTTGTGCAATTGTGGTCCTGTCTTTGTTTCTGCACAGACCCCTTGTGCATGTATTCCTGAGACTAAACACACCGTTTACTTCTGTAACTGTACGACGTCTGGGAACGCTCACCGTGTCGACTCCTGCCAGCAGGAGTTCGGTGATGCTGCCCAGGATCTCCGTCACCGTCATCTGGTCGCTGAGCAGCAGATGTGTGAGATACGCTCCCTCAACGTTCCGGTCCAGCTGCACGTTCTCCTGGATCTCCTCCATTTTCTTCTTCACCAAATCTTCAGCTGTGAGACACAAGAGAGAATCCAACTCATTGATTTCTCACAGGACAACCACAGCTCGTGGGAGACAGTTCTGACCACTGGATGGCGATAGAGACACAGTGAGGGATCTGGTTCAGAGGCTGTCGTGGAAAAAGAACAGCAGGACGACAGCTGTCTGACGGACTTTATCCTCTGAGAGAATCACCACAATCTGTTGACCTTGGAATTATTTGATAGTGCAGCCTGATAAATGGCGTCTGAGCTCTAGTAACCTTGTTGGACCGCGATTAGTCAGAAAAAGCATCGACACATGACAAGTAACAGCTGAGACAGAAAGTGCACAAGTTATTCAAGTGTCTTTTCCTTATCTTGTTTTGTGTTAGATTGTGAGAATGTCTACAGCTAATTATGGTTTAATTTCTTCTCTTAATATCTCTATATGAAGAGTCAATCAAACTGAATAATAAACGTCAGCACCTTCACAACCACCTGTGTTTCATTTGACTCTGTCTTGTTTACTTAAAAGCCTCTTCACAACAAATGATGTATAATTTACATTTCTGCAGCCCATTCGCCAATCCTTTCCGATCAGTTTTATGTTTGTGGATTTGTTTTCACCTATCATTCAGCTAGCCACTGGTGTCCTTTTATTTCTAACAAACTGCACAGTAAGGCTGCAGTATTCCTGTAATACTGCATCACCTTTCCAGGGATATTTTGTTTAAAGTGCACTTAATGTGGCCCTTAACTGTTTTAATGCATGCTGTATTTCACTGTTGCATTACAAGGCATGTCATCTTTTTAAATAAATGGCCAAAATTACACTAAGTTTTAGCTAGATTAGTAAAAACAGGGGGGAAAAAATCATGAATTTTCATCTTGCAGACAGTCCTTTAACAAATCATCTGTGACATTTGGCTCTGTCATGAAAACAGACAGAAAAAATGTAACAAATCGAAGTTTAAAACTGTGATTTTTTATTTTTTTTAGCCCTTTCCGTATTCTGTATGTCTTGTTTAAAATTTGTCAAAAATAAAGTGTTTGTCGAAAACAGATTCTATAAAAAAAACAACAACAACAGCTGAGAAGCAACGATTAATTTAGCTGTAACCACAAAACTAAACAGTGCATATTTTCACATTTTTCACTGTGGTTGATAGTCTTAGAGAAAGTTTCAGGTCTGACTTGGACAGCATGCTCCCTGTGGACTACTGAGGCTGGATTTTTATTTATGGAGCCATGAACTACCTATATGCATCATCCACACATGAAATTCTGAAATGCAGCATGTGTTTTTAGAAGGTTTATGGACGAATGCCACAGAAGAACAAATCTGTAAACAAACTAAGAACATAAATATTACTAATATGTAAGCAACAATTTCTCTGCAGTGCTGGTAACAACTGTGAGCACTTGGAAAAATGCTGTACATGTCAAAGCAATTCCCTTTTTTCTGATTTATGGCTTTATAACTGCAATAGAGACATAGCTGAGTTCTCTCTACGTCTAGCCATGGTTGTGCTGTTTCCATAGAGGTACAGGACTTTATATTGCTGAAAGAAATGGGCGCACAGTGAAGAAAAATGTGACAGGAGCAATAAAAAAAAATTCAGAATTCGGAAAAAAGACAAAAGTTTCTAACAAAAAAACCCAAAACAAAACATGATGCATCAGAAAACTTTGAATGTACAATAAATATTAAGCATAAAAACAAGAGCCAGTGTATAAAGGCTTTTTTTGGTCTTTCTTCAAAGGAACTTCAGAGTACATAGTCATATAACAAGAAAAATACTAATTTTTAAACATCAATGATCATACATTAATTAGTAACTCTCTTGAAACATGCTACACTTTTATTCACTGGTCGAAAATCACTCACCGACTTTGAAGAGATGATCCCAGGTCGCAACAAACTTCTTCCAGAACGGCAGGTAAGGCCACATGAACCGAGGGAAGAGGACGATGACCGGGGAGAGTCGGAACATTTCCCCCACGGAGACGATGAACTTCTGGGTTTCCTCCGGCACGTCCTCGTTTATGCAGCCCATACGGGTCTCAAACAACACCGAACAGATCCCTGCAGTTAAAAATACAATGATTATACCACGAACGCGTTGCTTTATACAGTTTAAAAATACAAAATTACAGAACGTTCCTAGACATGAGATGTGCCGTTGCTGAGTTTGGATGAGATTTTTTTCGCAGGACGCTTGGAAGAAGGACTTTTTCCCAAACTTGATCAGGCCAGTAGAGCTGAATAAACTGAAACCAAACTCAAAACTTTTCAACTTTTCTCCCTTTCAACGAGTTTGCTGTATTTTTTATAGCCAAAATTATGTGGACATCTCAATATTAGACCCATAAGTGATGGCTGAACATCTTATTTGGCTATATTTTCTCCCAAAGGCATCAGAGAATCTTCCTCTCTCCATATTCAAAAAATCCATAAAGAAATCTTTCAGCACTGCCTACACTCAGTATTATGCATTACTATGATTTTTGATATTACTATTTTTCCAAACCCATTGACATTCATCTGTAGGAGTCTGGAAAATATTCTCTGGTTTCAGGAATTTGCTCAATTCAGCCACAAAAGCATTAGTGAGAGTCAAAACTGATGTTAAGGCGATGAAGCACGCCTCACTAAGACCAGCTTTTTTAATGCGTTTGACCATCTGGAGTGAAATCGATGTCTTTTTGACTAGTCTGAATTGTCCGTGATGCTGCACGTGTGAGGCTTCCAATTGGATACTGGTCCAGCAAAGCGTTTAAACAGTGTTAGAAGAAGTAACGACTGCTAGAAAAGCTTATCAGCAACAAGTTTGTGGAGAATGAGAACGTCATTCATTAGGAATTTGTGGATAAAATTAACCAGAGCTTTGACCTCATTTGATAAGTCAACAAAATGGTTTGAAATATGTGGTTAGAGTCACAGTGCCACAGTGTGCTTGGAAAACAAGCCACACCGGCTTCTTCCAGCGAATTTCCATCGCTTCTGACGTAACTACAGATATCTGCGACATAATTTGTTTAGTCAAAACTCAATTCAACATATCTGTAATTACATTTTGAAAAGGCAGATTTCCAGTATGAGATATCTGCAGTGTCATTCTGGCTGCTTAAACAACATATCTACAATAGACAATGTAGATACCGTTGACTGAGGGCAATTACAGATATCCTGAACTAGAATTAAACTGTAGACATCTGAAACTGTCATAGTTCAGAGGAAGATCTGCAATATGAACTGCAGATACCTGCAACTCAACAGTAGATTTCTGTAATGAGAAACCCATCACACACATACACAGTAAAAGTGCTGCTATTTGTCCTATAAAAAAAGACGATGCAGATATCTAAAATGTTCTTTTTGACTCGAAAGAACTGAATTATCTGCAACACATATCCAGTCTGGGTATTAAATGTTCAGACTGTTTTCTATAGCTCATAGTTCTGCACCACACTTTTTATGAACCTTTTAACTAGTTTTAGGTCATTTTCTTCTCAAAATTAGTGTTTATATCTTATATTTGGGCTACCCTTTTTTTGCAGTGTACAAGAGTTTCTCAGGAAAGAAAAACTAAAAACTATGTTCTGGCTAAATATGCTTCCTTACTTGAATCCAATAGAACACCTTCAGGGTAGTCTAAAGAGGAAGGCAGAGCAACACAAGCCCTTCAAAGAGCAGCTGAAGAAAAGTCTCAGAATAATTGTACAATTTGTTCACACCACATAAACAACAGTAAACAGAGTTCACATAGTTCAACATGTTGTCTCTCATGAACCTTCAACTTTCATTGTCACAAGAAATGGTACTCCCCAAACTGTAAAGACCTGAAAAACCTAAAACCCAAAGTAGGTAGACAAGTGTGAGCGTGTTGTGTCTTTTTGTAAGGTCTATACCTTATTTTGTTAAGCGCTGTGTGATAACGTGTTGTAAACTGCGCTATACAAATAAAATTGAATTGAAAATTGAATTTTTCCTGTGTGACACCAGGCAGAAGTTAACAATTTGGCAGATTTGCTGGTGTCTAACCCTCTGAATGCCCCTGAAAAGTAACTTATTTTATTTTAAAATATACAAAATATCATTTATCAGAGCCAGTAACTGTAAAAAGACAAAGAATTGTACGATTTGCAACTTCCTGACAGTCCTTGAACTACTCATCTGCAGTGTGGCGTTCCACACGAGTTACCCAAATCCAGGCTGAAAATTCTGTTTAGATTTTCTTTAAATCTGTCAAAAAAAAAATAAACCACTTCAAGAAACCAGATTCTGTAAAAAAAAAAACTAAAAGTTCTGCACTCGTCTACGTAACCATGAAGTTATTAGTTAATCAGCTGTGACCAACAGTCATGTGACAAAACATCTGAGACTAAAATGCAGCCAGTGTTTAGACACAGACAATATAAACAGGAGAAAAGTGTGGCAGCAATTAATAACGTAGCTAGTAAAATATCTTTAGTACAAGGAGCCGCCATTTTTGAGCAACAATTTGCAAGTTGTGTTTTAAGTCAATTCTTTGATTTATGGCCTGACTGTGCAAAATGGTGTGTGTGTGTGTGTGTGTGTAGGCTCTTTTTATTTCTAGTCATGGTTGTTCTGTTTCCATAGAGGCACAGGACTTTGTATTGCAGTGAAAAACACCCAACTGTTTAGGATTCCGAGTGTTAAAGGAATCACTTGACATTTCAAAGTTTGTTGAGAGGAACAGTGACATCATCACGTCTGTTCGCTACATATGAAGCTACAGCCGGCAGTTTTTTGGCATAGTTTGTTGCAAATACTGGAAACAGAAGCAGCCAGTTAACCTGACTCTGTCCTCGCAAATACCCCATTTAAACCTCCCAGTGATTGTTGCGATTTATTTCATGGTCACACAAAAGAAAACATCCTGTTGGTGAGAAGTGTGAACGTGTGCTGGCAGCTTGTTATCTCTGGACAGAGCTGGCTGCTGGAAGGAACTTGTGCAACTCATGTGAGGATAAAAACAATCCTAACTAACTTTCAGCAAGAAAGAAATTAACATATTTACCAGAATACTATCATTCTCACGTGATGGGGCTTTAAAACTGCTTCAGAAAAGTCTAAACCATAAGTAAACACTAACTTGAACTAAAACACAGACAATCCCATTGTTAAAGGTGCCTCCTGGTGATCAAACCCTCAGTGTATCTCACTTTATCTAATCAGCTGTCAAGGCCAAAACACTCTGAACATCAGCACACACACAGTAAAAGGTGGCTGAACAAATAGAAACTTGATTCTGTTGTAGCCAAAAAAGAAGTGTGCAGGAGTGAAAGAGTCAAGGACAAGTGGAACGAGGCTGAGGGCGTCCCGAGTTTTACATGTGATCAGTAATGATAAAGACAAAACAGGAGTTGCCTGTGCCGAAGCTCAGTGTTGTGCAGTTTGTACTGTAAATATTAATGCTACAACAATGCTAATGTCTCTGACCGTAGTTTGATTATGTCACGTTGTGCCTCATGTTCTGTTGAATTATAACAGTATGCAGTTTCTTAAACCAACATTTGCTGCTTGTAGTCAAGATGTTTCCAAGCATCAAAAAAAAAAGACGAGGTTCCAGAGCTGATTAAGTGAAAACATGCAACTTGTTTGTTCTCTGCTGACCTTCAAAAGCAAATTTGTAGAGTTCTCCAGTCAGGTCATTGACCAGAACTCCCTGTCCGCTTCTATCCCTCAGCCAGGCCACTCTCTGGATGAAGTCCGTCACCACCTCGTTGATGGTGTTGGCGTACGACGACACATGTTTGGGCTTCAACATCCGAGGGTTCAAGATGCTGCGGATGCGCTGCCAGTTGGCTCCCATCCTGTGAACCAGGATTAACACTTTAAGAAAGACGTTTAGTTCTTGATGATTTAATTATTTCAAACGGACACATTTAAAGTCACCTCCAGACGGTTTAAGAGTAACTTAAAGAGATGCCTGCATCGGACCACTTCCCTGGAAACTTGATGCTAAATTCTAATCTCCACACAGTGTGTCAACATCTTGAACAATGTGGTAATTATGCGAGGATGTTGTTTGTGGACTTCAGTTCTGCTTTTAACACACTTGTTCCAAGCAGACTGCTGTTCAAACTGTGCAGTCTGGGCATCGGCCAGCACACCTGCAGATGGATCAGAGACTGTCTCACCAACCGTCTGCAGTCAGTCAGGTTGGGGCTCCACCACTCCTCAGTGCTGACAGTGAGCACTGGGGCCCCTCAGGGCTGTGCGCTCAGCCCCATGCTGTACACCTTGTACACCCACGAATGTGCACCAACCCACAGCAGCAACATCTTTGTCAAATTAACTGATGACACTACTGTGGTTGGGCTGATTCATAACAATGATGAGACGGTCTACAGAGAGGAGGTCCTGAACCTCACTACCTGGTGTTCCCTCAATAACCTGGCACTCAGCTCCTCAAAGACAAAGGAGTTGGTGCTGGTCTTCAGGCGAAAGAGGGAGGACCCCCTTCTCATCCAGGGGGGACACCGTAGAGAGTCAGTGACTTCAACATACTTTTCTCAGGACCTCACATGGGGCACCAACACCAATGCCCTGGTGAAAAAGGCACAGCAGCGTCTACACTTTTTAAGGTCACGGAGAAAGATCAACCTGTCCCAAGAACTGCTGCTGTCCTTCTATAGAGAGCATCCTCACCCACAACATCTTGGTGTGGTACAGGAGCTGCTCTCAGGCTGACAAGACGATGACTATTCGGTGATCAAAATTGGTATCCCAGTTCCAGCACAGCGAACGAATAGTTGGCTATTCGGGTCCAGCCTTAAAATACATGTATATATTCTTATTTGTCTTTTTATACTTTTATATGTTTGCACCACTGGAGTTGTCTTTTAATTTTGTTGTAGCTTTTGTATGATGACATTAAAAACATTCTTTTCTATTCTAATCTGAAATGTGAAATATCTGACTCATGGCTCGTTCTGTTTTGTATCATATCATATATTCTATATTTTTCTTTTTGCCTGCCAAACCCATACAGTGACTGAATGAATTCTTCTAACAAGTATCATCTGTGCATCCAAAGCCTGATTCCTGTTATTCTGTTGGGACAAAAAGCTCCATTGTTGTTACCGAAAACAGAACCAAAAAACAAATGCAGCGTTCCCTCCAGTTTCAATAAGATTTGCAGCTTTTGAAAATTAAATATATATTTGTGAGCCCTAATTTTTGAGGTAGTATGTCTGCTGCAGTGTCTTAAGTATATTAAAAAAAGAGGTTAGGTTGGGAGTTTGCATGTTCTCCCCGTGCAGCGTGGGTTCTCTCCAGGTTCTCCGGTTTCCTCCCACACAGTCCAAAAACAGGCTGAGGTTAATTGGTGATCCTAAATTGTCCGTGGGTGTCAATGTGAGTTTGCTTGTCTGTCTCTAAGTGTAGCCCTGTGATAGACTGGTGACCTGTCCAGGGTGTCCCCTACCTTCACCCTGAGTCAGCTGGGAGAGCTGCAGCCCCCTCGCGACCCTACAGAGGACTGAGCGGTATATAGATAATGGATGGATAGAGGTTAGATTGTAAAAGCAGGAGCAGATTGAAAGTTATTTTTGGAAAAAAAATTGAAAATTGACACCTTTTATCAGAGCCACAAACTGTACAAATGGAAAGAATCAACAGATTTTCAACTTTCAGTGATGTGGCACCTCTTTTAAAAAAAATTTAAAAAGCGTGATATTTCATCAAAATCACTTTATTCTAATGTCTTATTTAAAAAATTGCCAAAAACAGAAAGTTTGCATAAACCAGATTCTGTAAAAAACAAAAAAATCTGCACTCTTAGTTGGAATCCTGAAGTCATGACTGACTCTGCTGTGACCAACAGTCAAGTGGCAAAAATCCAGGAACTTTTCATTATGTATAGCGTGTTTACGCATTTCTGTTTCCAGTATTGGAAACACCCGTGGGCACTTAGAAAATCAGTGGACATGATGATTTCAGGTTTTTTTTCCATTTTTGAAAAATAAACAATCAAAGAAGTTCAACTGTGTTGTTTCTTTTTTATGATTAAAGCCTTAATAACTGTGTTATACTGCACAGAAGTCGTTTTTGAGTCTTTTTATAGCCAAGGTTGTGCTGTTTCCATAGAAGTGTAGGACTTGATATTTCAGTAAAAAATGNGAGTGTGCTTGGTTGTCTGTCTCTAAGTGTAGCCCTGTGATAGACTGGTGACCTGTCCAGGGTGTCCCCTGCCTTCACCCTGAGTCAGCTGGGAGAGTTGCAGCCCCCTATGACCCTACAGAGGACTGAGCGGTGTGTAGATAATGGATGGATAGAGGTTAGATTGTAAAAGCAGGAGCAGACTCTGAACTGCTCTTTCATTAGTTGAAAAGATGCTTTAGCCATCTGAACTCAAAAACATTTCTGCAGATTGGAAGTTATTTTTGAAAAAAAAATTGACACCATTTATCAGAGCCACAAACTGTACAAACGGAAAGAATCAACAGATTTTCAACTTTCAGTGATGTGCCACCTCTTTTAAAAAAAATTAAAAAGCGTGATATTTCATCAAAATCACTTCATTCTAATGTCTTATTTAAAAAATTGCCAAAAACAGAAAGTTTGCATAAAGCAGATTCTGTAAAAAACAGAAAAATCTGCACTCCTTTAGTTGGAGTCCTGAAGTCATGACTGACTCTGCTGTGACCAACAGTCAAGTGGCAAAAATCCAGGAACTTTTTCATTATGTATAGCCTGTTTACGCATTTCTTTTTCCAGTATTGGAAACACCTGTGGGCACTTAGAAAATCAGTGGACATGATGATTTCAGTTTTTTTTCCCCATTTTTGAAAAATAAACAATCAAAGGAGTTCAACTGTGTTGTTTCTTTGTTTATGATTAAAGCCTTAATAACTGTGTCATACTGCACAGAAGTCGTTTTTGAGTCTTTTTATAGCCAAGGTTGTGCTGTTTCCATAGAAGTGTAGGACTTGATATTTCAGTAAAAAATGAGTCAACGGAGCAATAAACAGTCTGGAATTCAGAAGGTTAAATACATCTGAATGAGAGTACCCTGACTGTCAGAGTGCCAGCCTGTCTGAAGCCTCTCAGCATTGCTGTGGTTCAGCAACAACAAGTGCTGCTGGAACAAGTCTGACAGGAACGACTGAATACCAGCGAAGCAGAGCTGCAGTGACTCAGTCATTCCTCATTGCAGTCCACAGGTCTGTCCTCGTGCATTCCTTGACATTACTTATGAAACTGTTAATGATACCTGTCCTGATATGGGAGCCAAAGGCAAAAAATGATCTGCAGGCCCAGACTGAATCCTGGTCCCTCCTACTCTGCATTGTTTATGAACCTTGTCTTCCCTGAGCGTGCATCGCAAGCACGCAGTAGCAACACAGTCCTGGTATTCAATTAAATGACTGAAATCTGATCATTAGATTGCACAGGATGATATTATGTTTACAAGCGCTTTAAAGGCTGGTCCAGGTGTCTTTAAAGCTTTTATTCAAGGCAGCAGCAGTGTGAGTTTGCCAAATCAGGTGTTGTAGCTGCCAAAGTTAACAGGAAGCATGAAACATGAGACGAGAGAGGCAGATATGGGATACTCTGCTGGGAATAGAACTGTGGACGTTGTGCTATGCGCCTCAATAATAAGGCTACTCGAGCGGTCGTTTTAGTAACAAATTCTCCCTTGTTTTCCACGATTTTACTTCATTGCTGGGGGACAGTGAAAGGGTAGCAACAAAAGGAGGTAATTTTATACCCAGAGGATACGCTTTGAAGGGTAAACTCACTTCATTTGTCTCATTCTGACTGCTGAATCACTGTATTGGCTTCATTTTAATGCTTTTTTGCACGTCAAACTTGAAAAAAGGGGAACTTTGGTCTTATATATATTGTATATTGACTGTATATTAACTTTTGAATCCACAGATTTAGTGTGGGATGGATAAAAAAATACTAATTTTAATTGGATCTCAAGACACCAAACAACCTGTTCCCTGGTTCAACGTGTGACAGCTCAGCTCAAGGTGTTTTTTTTATATCCCCCTGATACCACAAATCATAAATTCATCTCATCCTGCACAGCAAAGCTCAGTTTATCAGTAGAACCTGAATAAAGCATGTTTGTGAGAAGCAGATTAAACACAAATCTGTTCAGGTGGATGCAAAATCTGAGCAAGTTTCCATTTTTCCAACTAGAATGCGGTATGGATTTAGGACACAGAAGTGGATGTAAAGCCGGAGAACGTGTTTCACTCACTCTGTCAGGGGTCCGTGGGCCTGGTTCCTCAGCTCCCTGTAGTCCCTCCAGTGGGGCATGTCGGTCCGGACCGGGTGTCTCCCCTCCTGCCTCAGCACCTGCTCTATCAGCTCGGCACTGGCCACGTTCACCACCACCAAGGGGCCGTATTTAGACTTCCACAACGGGCCGTAGATCTTGCAGTGCTCGATCTTTGAGCAAATAATGTAAGGTAATGAGTTATTTATTGGGTTATTACGTGTTTAATGAGAGGGGGGGAGTGAAAAGAGGGTGTCTATTTCCATAATCTGTTGCCTACAGGAATCAGAAATGATCAACAATTCAACCTTTGAACGGTGAAACTGAAAACATATCAATTCACGTATAATATATTTATATAATGTTCATTACTAGGACATTGTATTATGCCTATTTAAATAAATAGTAAACCTAATGGCACAATTACCTACCTACAGTGTATTTAACTGGGTGTGTTGGTGCTGTTTTGGAGATAACGCAGCTGAAGCAGTTTGACTAAACAATTGCAAAAAACAAAATAAACTGTTGTATTCTTCTAGTCGGTGCCAGCAGTGAAAGCAGCTACTATAACGTCATTGCTCAGATCACTTATATCTGCTGTCTGGATCCAAAAAACAGAATCAGCTTTGACTTTTGTTTTAATGACAGATTGTATCGTTGGGGATTATTAGTGACATGTTGTACTACACACTTCCTTATACTGTAGTAGGGCTGACTTCATTGCCTGTGGCAGCATATAAAAGACTTTTCCAGTTGCACAATGCTTCAGTGTGATCCTTGTTGGCAAAACACACACATTGTTTTTTAATCAACTAGTGCCAACTTCATGTCTGATACACTGACAATCCAGCTCTTAAATGGGCTACATGATGCACATTTTTTGCAGTATACTCAACATTTTGAACTGTTTTTTGCCTGCAATTCCATTAAATGTAAGTGAATCCAGTGAAAAGCTCATTAAGGTTCCCACTTTACTGCCACTGCTGCTCACAGGAAAGCTTTAAGCTCTGTAGATGACATTGTGTTAGTTGCTGGACACTTCAGAAAAGATGCTGCATTCTTCTCATTTCCATCGCTGCGTAATTAAAACGCGAGGAATGTCAAGATGAAAAGCCCTGAAACCACTGCACGGGTTGGGAACCACAGTGGAATGTGACTAAACTGACAACTTGAGCAGAATTCAGGGTGAAAAGCTGCAGAGATGGGTGCACTAGAGTTCAGATGAAGAACAAACAGGATTTCTCATGTAGTCCTCGCCCTGCGCAAAACTCATTTCCCTCGTCTGCTGACCCACTTACTTGCAACTGCTGCGTCGTTTGGAAATATCCCTTGACAAAAAGCCAGTACAGGCTGTTGAGGAAACTCGGTCCCCCTAATTCAGCCATGGTTTTCACTTTGTTGTCACCCATCAAGGTGCTGCTGCTGCTGGTGGAGGTCGCTGCGTCGCGGCGCGGCGTCTCTCCATAGTTGAATCCGGAGGTTACTTTCTGGATCCCTTTACGCTGCTGCCGGTTCACTCCCAGTCCGATGTTTACGAGAGATTTCCTCAACATTTTGACCGTGCAAAGCGTCTGTTTTCTGCACTGTCACAAGCCCAAACAAAGCGTGTCGGTGCCGTTGTGCGTCTCTGAGCTGTGACGGCTGCAAAAATAATGGCTCCTTGTTTGCAGCGCAGCAGCAGCGCAGCAGCAGACCCCCTCAACAAGCTGTGAGCCAACCCTGGACTTTGACACAGTCGTAAACCCGAGTTAACCTACTAAGCCTACACAGACATATTTAAATAGCAAACAGAAACATTAACTAATATGGCGAAACTTGCAGAAATATTTCATTAAATTTAAAAATTGTAATTTCTTTCTCCGCTGCAGAAAATGCACAAAATCATTCAAGACAAATTATACACAAAATCCGCCCCTCTTTCTGTTTTTCTGTGGACACGTGTCTGCTCCTGGAGTCACATTTCACTAGGTTTTGTTGTAGTGTTGTTTTTGACACACTGAGCATCATAAACACTTCTGCTTCCATTTTTCATGAGCTGAAGTTAAAGATCTGACACTTTTTCTATGTACACAAAAGATCTACTTCTCTCGAATAATTGTTAGCAAATCTGTGTTGGTGAGCACTTTTCCTTGGCCAAGATAATCCACCCACCTCACAGGTGTGGCATGTCAAGATGCTGATTAGACAGCATGGTTATTGCACATATGCGTCTTAGGCTGGCCTCAATAAAAGGCCACTCTAAAATGTGAACTTATATTGGCCTGGGGGGGTCAGAAAACCAGTCAGTGTCTGGTGTGACCACCGTTTGCCTCACGCAGTGCAACACATCTCCTTTGCACAGAGTTAATCAGGTTGTTGATAGAATGTTGGTTCACTCCTTTTCAGTGGCTGTGCCAACTTGCTGAATATTGGCGGGAACTACATATACGCCAATCCATCCCAAACATGCTCAATGGGAGACATGTCTGGTGAGTATGCGGGCCATGCAAGAACTGGGGTGTTTTCAGCTTCTGGGAAACGTGTACAGATCCTTGCAGCATGGGGCTGTGCATTATCATGCTGCAATGTGAGGTTGTTAGAGCCGATTCTTTAGTTGGAAGCCCAAGAACAAACCGGAGAAATCTTCAGTTCTCAGATGTAGAATTTATTTAGGTCACAGGTAAAGTGAGGCAGCGCTGGGTTCAGAGGGACGGACAGGAATCTCATGTCCAGCTGAACTGAGTTTTTCCAGGTTCAGGTTACAGATGTCTTCTTGGGCTGGGATTGCCCCGTACGGTGCAGTCAGAGTTTGGACTTGTAGGCTACCGAAGTTAATTGGCCAGTTACTGGGATGTAAACAGGCTAACCACTGTTCAAGTGGAAGTTCACTGAAATGTAAACAAAAACTGCTTGGATCGAATACAAAGTGTGTGTGTGTTGTCCAAAAGGCGTGTATCTAAAGCAACTGATAGGATAGGGGAGTATCTGCTGTCTCCCAGTTCTCTCCGGCCATGCTATCTTCAAGGACATATATTGTGCTCAGTAGAAAAACACAAAGCAGAATCATAGGCTCAGTGGAAAAAATACAGATTTAGAATACATAATAGCTCAACATGTAGCTAATTATAACAAGGTGATGGTCGTAGATGAATGGCACAACAATGGGCCTCAAGATGTCGTCACGTATTTGGGCATTCAAAATGCCATCAGTAAAATGCACCTGTGTTTGTTGTCCTTAACATATGCCTGCCCATACCATAACCCCACCACCACCCTGGACCACTGGATTCACAACGCTGACATCAGCAAACCGCTCACCCACACGACGCCATACACACTGTCTGCCATCTGCCCTGTACAGTAAAAACCGGGATTCATCTGTGAAGAGAACACCTCTCCAAACTGCCAGACACCACTGAATGTGAGCATTTGGCCACTCACTGCAGTCAGGTCGACACCCCAATGAGGATGAGGAGCATGCAGATGAGCTTCCCTGAGACAGTTTCTGACAGTTTGTGCAGAAATTCTTTGGTTATGAAAACTAATTGTTGCAGCAGCTGTCCAGGTGGCTGGTCTCAGACGTTCTTGGAGGTAAAGATGGTGGATGTGGAGGTCCTGGGCTGGTGTGGTTACACGTGGTCTGTGATTGTGAGGCGGGTTGGATGTACTGCCAAATTGTCGGAAATGCCTTTGGAAACAGCTTATGGTAGAGAAATGAATATTCAATTCACAGGCAACAGCTCTGGTGGACATTCCTGCAGTCAGCATGCCAATTGCCTCAAAACTTGCAACATCTGTGGTGCTGTGTGATAAAACTTCACATTTACAGTGACCTTTTATTGTGGCCAGCCTAAGGCACATATGTGCAATAACCATGCTGTCTAATCAGCATCTTCATATGCCACCCCTGTGAGGTGGGTGGATTATCTTGGCAAAGGACAAGTGCTCACTAACACAGATTTAGACAAATTTGTGAACAATATTTGAGAGAAATGGGCCTTTTGTGTACATAGAAAAAAGTCTCAGATCTTTGACTTCAGCTCATGAAAAATGGGAGCAGAAACAAAAGTGTCCCATTTCTATTTTTGTTCAGTTTATTTGGAGGCAATCTTTGGCACGTTGAACAGAGATGGAGCTAAAGGGTAGCCCAGGTTGGCCACATCCACCAACATGTGTTCAGAAACCAAAGTCTGCTT